TGAGATCAAATCCAACTTCAGATATGTGATGCTGGGCAAGTCTCAGTTTTCTGATCTGCAAAATGGGGATAATAATAGCACCAAATTCCCAGGATTGTTAGGAGGCTCAAATGAGATGGTATTTGTAAAACACTCATCATAGTGCCTGGCACATAGTAGTTTCTATGTAAATGCGTATCTCTTTCCTACTTGTGACCAAATCTCATAATCTTTTTGTAGGGGCCACAGTTTCAAGCAAATAAGTACTTTACAAGAGACCTTAGAGCTGGAAGGGACCTTAGAGGTCATCGGCTTAGACATCACAATAGCCTTCTCTGCCCTCCCAGGCTATCAGCCTGTTCTGTTTACTTTTCTGCCCTTCAAAATCTTGACTTTATACTTAATGAGGCCAACTTTACACTGTCCCCTGCCCTTTAATCCTTGATTCCATTGTCCTGTTGCTGTATTTCTCTCTACCAAACCCCAACCCTGTGATGACTTACACCATCCATTTTCTCTGTTCCTACTCACCAATGCTGCCAAATGACATGGGAGGATGTCACAAAGCTAGCCTGATGGGGTTTGCTACAGATTTATATTATCTGATCTTAATTGGGCATTCAATGCTGCATGCCAATCCTCCTTTCCCTGATTAACTTTCTCTTGCATTCCCCAAAGCAACTGTTCCTTTTCTCCTCAAAACACCTATACCACTCCAGCCCCCTTCCTTATTAACAGATAACCTTAACTCATATCATCAAAAAAAAATTGAAGCCATATTTCAAGACCTCTCATCCCCAAGTAATCATTTCAGGTCACCTCAATTTCATTCTTTCTCTCTTTTGCTCCAGCCTAAGATGAGGTAGACTTTCTCCTTGCCATTGCTTTTGTTGTTTTTGAGGCAATCAGGGTCAAGTGACTTGCCCAGGGTCACACAGCTTGTGTCTGAGGTTGGATTTGAACTCGGGTCCTCCTGACTGCGGGGCTGGTATTCTATTCACTATACTACCTAGCTGTGCCACTTTTTCTCCTTGCTGTTAGCAAATTTTTTTTTTTCATTCAACTCTACAATTCCCTCAAGGAAAAAGCCTCTCTCTCACCAAACTCCTAGAAAAAGATCTTTCTGCATGGTCACAAATGATCCCTATATTGCTAAATCTAATCTTTTTTTTTTTCTCAGTCCTCATCCTTCTTGACTTCTCTGTGGAATGTTTACCATTTCTTCCTTCTAAACATTTTCTCCCTGGGTTTCCATGACACTGCTCTGCTATTTTCTTCCTGTCTGACAAAATCTTTCTGGGTCTCCTTTACAGAAACATCCTTCTTTTCTCACTCCTTGTTTAATATGTGTATCCCAGGGCTCTGCCCTGAGCTGCCTTCTCTCTTTCTACATTCTCTCTTGGAGAGCTCCTATGGGATGCAGATGACTCCTAAATCTACATCTCCTGAGCCCGAGTCCCACATCTGTTACATGCAGGACAACAGGATGTTCCAAAGACATCTCAAATTTAAAATTTCAAAAAAGAGAATTGATTTTCTTCCCCCCTAAACCTAGTCTCCCTAACAGCCTTATTTCTATCATGATCCTTACTTAGTTTCCTAATCTAGGGGTTATCCTCCCCTCTTTGCTCTCATACACTTCCCAGATCTAACCATTTGCCAAATCTTACTGCTTCTGCCTTCCTGGCATCTCTTACATCCGTCTCCTATTTATAAAATGCAGGTCTGCAAATATCACTCCCCAACTCAATAAAACTGGGATGGCTACTTATTGCCTGTAAGATCTACTGTTTAATTTTTATTAGTTCAATGTTTTGTTTTGTTTTTTACTTTCAGTTTTATTAATCTCTTCTTTGATTTTTCAGTATTTCCATTTTGGTGTTTAATTGGGAATTTTTCATTTGTTTTTTTTTTTTAAGTTTAGTTGATTGACCAGTTCATTGATCTACTCTTTTTCTATTTTACTGATGTACGCATTAAAATTTCCTCCAAGTATTGCTTTAGCTGCACCATTGTTCTGTTTCACTTTTAAAGACTTTTACAACCTGTCTCCAGCCTGCTTTGTTTTTTTTTTGTTGTTTTGTTTGTTTGTGAGTTTTGGAGTATTTAATGTTCAAATAGAAAGAAGAATGTTCTCTATTTAAAATACTGTCAACGATAATTGATATAAAATATGGCACTTTTCAGGAAGTCAGTTTAATTGACTGTGGTTCTGCCTAGCCTTAAATCCATTATCATCTCTTTTTTTAATTTATTTGTTTATTTTTCGTTTTCAGCATTCACTTCCATAAGATTTTGAGTTCCAAATTTTCTACTCATCCCTCCCCTCTCCCCCCACCCAAAGACAGCATGCAATTTGATATAGGCTCTACACATATATTCATATTAAACCTATTTTCACATTAGTCATGTAAAGAAGAATTAGGACCAATGGGAGAAACCATGAGAAAGAAGAAACAAAAAGAGCAATAACATGCTTCAATCTGCATTTAGACTCCATAGTTCTTTTTCTGGATGTGGGTAGCATTTTCCATCATGAGTCTTCTGGAGCTGTCTTAGATCCTTGTATTGCTGAAAAGAGATAAGTCTGTCAAAGTTAGTCATCACACAATGTGGCTGTTACTGTGTACCATATTCTCCTGATTCTGCTTGCTTCACTCAGCATCAGTTCAATTAAGTCTTTGCAGGTTTTTCTGAAAAATAGCCTGCTTATCATTTCTTATAGCACAGTAGTATTCCATTACATTCATATACTACAACTTGTTCAGCCATTCCCCAAATGATGGACATCCCCTCAATTTCCAATTCTTTGTCACCACAAAAAGAGCTGCTATAAATATTTTTGTATATGTAGGTCCTTTTCCCATTTGTATGATTTCTTTCAGACACAGACCTAGAAATGATATTGCTGGGTCAATGGGTATGCATAACCCTTTTATAGCCCTTTGGGCATAGTTCCAAATTGCCCTCTAGAATCGTTGGATCAGTTAACCACTCCACCAACAATGCATTAGTGTTCCAATTTTCCCACATCTCCAGCATTTATAATTTTCC